AATCGCCCCACAACCATCCGAAAGGGCTTCCAGGCAGTCCAAGAGAGCCCCAAAACGGCACAACACGGGTCCAAGATGGCCCTCAGAGAGCCCCATGGCGGCCAAAGATGGCCCAAAGACACCCTCCGAAGAATTCCAAATCGTGTTTCGGTCGTTCAGGGAGACGGCGGTTGGAGGCAGGGTGGCCCGAGGAAGCCCCCAGAGGCCCCCAGAATACGCCCAGGAGGCCTCCATAAGGCCTTAAGAAAGCCTGAAACAACTTTTGTGAGGCCCCCAGAGGCTCTCCAAGGAGGAGCCTCCGCAAAAAAAGAGCTGAGGAGGATGGGGAAAATGCGCAGGGTATGGCGAAACTAAGGAACAATAAGCATGGAGGAAGGATAACGAATAAGATCATTATAGCGGCAATGCTGGAAAAGGCAATCAGGAGTTATCGCTAAATTGTCGGCTTGACCTTGCTGTCATTCCGCCTGCATACCAAACTTCAAGGACCAAGGTGCATGGCGCGAAGCGCCACTGCAGTCTTGTATAAAAATATGTGTATATATATATAACATACATATATATATATATATATATGAATCACTGGTGCTAGACATGCCTGCTTGCTGCGCGGCACCTTTGCTAGACAAGACCCCTCCCCAAGTTGATTAAAACATAAATCCTTGGTGCTAGGACCCCGAGTTGCTTTAAAAAGAATCCTTGCAGCTAGACGTGTCCCATCTGCTGTGTGGCACCCTTTGTCGGGCAATGGCCCTCCCCAAGTTGATTAAAAAAGAATCCTTGGTGCTAGGCGTGCCCCACCTGCTGTGTTGCACCTTGTGCTAGACAAGACCCCTCCCCAAGTTGATTAAAGAAGAATCCTTGGTGCTAGACGTGCCCCATCTGCTGAACGGCACCTTTTGCTAGACAAGACCCCCCCCCCAAGTTGATTTAAAAAAGAATCCTTGGTGCTAGACGTGCCCCATCTGCTGTTGTGCACCCTTTGTTAAGCAATGGCCCTCCTCAAATTGATTTAAAAAGAATCCTTGGTTTTAGGCGTGTCCCATCTGTTGTGCGGCACCTTATGCTATGCAAGACCCCTCCCTAAGTTGATTAAAAAGGAATCCTTTGTGCTAGATGCGCCCCTTTGCTGTGCGGCACCCTCTCCAAGGTGAGCCCCTTTGCTGTGCGGCACCTTCTGCTGGGCAAGACTCCTCCCCAAGTTAATCGAATAAGAACCCCTGGTGCTAGACATGCCCGTTTGCTGTGCGGCACCCTCTGCTAGGCCGGACCCCTCCCCAACTTGATAAAACAGGCCCTTGATGTTAGACGTGCCCCATGTGCTGCGCTGCGCCCTCTGCTAGGCAAGACCCCTCCACAAGCTGATGTTAAAAAAGAATCCTTGGTGCTAGATGTGCCCCTTTGCTGTGCGGCACCCTCTGCTAGGCGAGACCCACCCGCAAGTTGATTAAACATGTATTCGTGTTGCTAGATGCGCCCCATGTGTTGTGTGGCACCTTCTGCTAGGCAATGGCCCTCCCCAAGTTTCTTTTAAAAGAATCCTTGGTGCTAGAAGTGCCCCATCTGCTGCGTGGCGCCCTCTGATAGGCAAGACATCTCCCCAAGTTGATTAAACAAGCATCCTTGCTGCTAGACGTGTCCCATTTGCTGTGTGGCACCCCTTGTTGGGCAATGGCCCTCCCCAAGTTGATTTAAAAAAGAATCCTTGGTGCCAGGCGTGCCCCACCTGCTGTGCGGCACCTTCTGTTAGGCAAGAGCCCTCCCCAAGTTGACTAAAACGAGCATCCTTGGTGCGAGACGTGCCCCATCTGCTGAACGGCACCTTCTGCCAGGCAAGACCCCTCCTCAAGTTGATTAAAAAAGAAGTAGTGGTGCTAGACATGCCCCATCTGCTGTGTTGCACCCTTTGTTAGGCAATGGCCCTCTCCAGGTTGATTTTAAAAAAGAATCCTTGTTTTTAGGCGTGCCCCATCTGTTGTGCGGCACATTATGCTAGGCAAGACCCCTCCCAAGTTGATTAAAAAGGAATCATTGGTGCTAGATGTGCCCCTTTGTTGTGCGGCACCCTCTCCAAGGTGAGCCCCTTTGTTGTGCGGCACCTTCTGCTAGGCAAGACCCCTCCCCAAGTTAATTAAAAAAGAATCCCTGGTGCTAGACATGCCCGTTTGCTGTGCGGCACTTTTGCTAGGCAAGACCCCTCGCCAAATTGATTTCAAAAGAATCATTGGTGCTAGGCGTGCCCCATCTGTTGTCCTGCATCTTCTGCTAGGCAAGAGACCTCCCCAAGTTGAGTTAAAACGAATCCTTGGTGCTAGATGTGCCCCTTTGCTGTGCGGCATCCTCTCCAAGGTGAGCCCAAGTTAAACAAGTGGCACGTGTGCCATGGCTCTTGCACAAAAAGGAAAGGGAAGGAGGAGGAGGAGGAGGTGGAGGAGGATAGGGGAAGAGGGGGCAAGACATCGCCCCTCGGGGCCCAGCAACGGGGCCCAAATCCCAGGTGGGGAGGGGGGGGGGAGGTGGTGTGCGTCGCGACGCGGAATCAAGTGCTCGGAGCGGAAGGGGCGCGGGGCGGGGCTCCCGCTGGGGCGCTGGGGGCGCGGAGAGGAGGGGGGGGGAGGCGGTGTGCGTCGCGACGCGGAATAAAATGGTCGGGGCGGAGGGGGCAGCGGGTGGGGCTTGGGGCAGAGGGCCACGGAACGGGGGTCCAACTGGGGCGTTGGGGACGGGGAAGGGGTAGGTGGTGTGCGTCGCGACGTGGAATAAAATTGCCGGGGCGGAGGGGGCACGGGGCGGAGCCCCCACTGGGGCTCTGGGGACACGGGGAGGGAGGTGGGGGAGGTGGTGTGCGTCGCGACGCGGAATAAAGCGTTCGTGGCGGAGGGGGTAATGGGCGGGGCTCCCGCTAGGGCGCTGGGGACGCGGGGGGGTTCGGGGCAGAGAGCCACGGCGCGGGGGTCCCACCCTGGCGCTGGGGACGCGGGGGGGGGGAGGGTGCGTCGCGGAATAAAGCGTTCGTGGCGGAGGGGGCAGTGGGCGGGGCTCCCGCTGGGGCGCTGGGGACGCGGGGGGGCTCGGGGCAGAGAGCCACGGCGCGGGGGTCCCATTGGCGCTGGGTTCGCGGGGGGGAGGGGGGCGTCGCGGAATAAAGCGTTCGTGGCGGAGGGGGCAGTGGGCGGGGCTGACGCTGGGGCGCTGGGGACGCGGGGGGGAGGGGGGGGGGCGACGCGAAATAAAGTGGTCGGAGCTCTAGGCACCTTCTGCTAGGCAAGACCGTTTCCCCAAGTTAATTCAAACAGAATCCCGGGTGCTAGTTATGCCTTTTGCTGTGCGGCACCCTATGCTAGGGAAGACCCTTCCCCAAGTTTATTAAAAAGAACTCTTGGTGCTAGACATGCCCCTTTGCTGTGCGGCACCCTCTGATAGGCAAGAGCCCTCCCCAAGTTGATTCACAAATAATCATTGGTGTTAGACGTGCCCCACCTGCTGTGCGGCACCTTCTGCTAGACAAGACCCCTCCCCAAGTTGATTAAAAAAGAATCCTAAGAGGCCCCAAACGGCCCCCCAGGAGGCTTCAAAACAGCTTCCAAGAGCTCGACGAGAAACCTCCCAAGAGATCCCCAAACGAACATCCAGGAGGCCTTGGACCTGCAACCCAGCCCCATCGGGCGGCGGCGGCGGCCGGCGGCGGCGGGGGCGGCCGACGAGAAACAGGTTTCTCGTCGGGCTCTCGGATGCTATTTTGAAGCCTCGTGGGAGGCCGTTTTGGGGCCTCTTGGGGCCTCGTTTGGTTTTCTTGGGGGCCTCCTGGGTGTTTCTCGAGGCCTCCCAGGACCTTCTTGAGGCGGAATACCCCAGGAGCCCGCAGGATGGATCCGTTGGAAGCGTGTCACCGGTGCGGCGCGGTCAGGGTGGCTTCACAATCCTTCGTGTTTAACGTATGTGCCTATAGATTGGTCCTCTCCTGGGGCTTCCTGGGGCCTCCCTGGGCTTCCTGGGGCCTCCTGGAGCTTCCTGGAGCCTCCCGGGGCTCCCCGAGGCTTCCTGGGACCTCCTGGTGCCTTCTGGGGCTGTCTTGGCCCTTCCCAGTGCCTCCTGGAGCTGTCTTGGCCCTCTCCTGGGGCGCGAATCAGGCCGAATAGAGGCTTCACGAGCTTCACCGGGCGCCAGGGGAATAGACGCTTCAGGCCGAAAAGAGGCTTCACGAGCTTCAACGGGCGTCAGGAGAGCAGAGGCTTCAGGCCGAATAGAGGCGTCACGAGCTTCACCAGGCGCCAGGGGAATAGAGGCTTCAAGCCGAATAGAGGCGTCACGAGCTCCACTGGGCGTCAGGGGAATACAGGCTTCAGGCAGAATAGAGGCTTCACGAGCTTCACCGGGCGTCAAGGGAATAAAGGCTTCAGGCCGAATAGAGGCGTCACGAGCTTCACCAGGCGCCAGGGGAATAGAGGCTTCAGGCCGAATAGAGGCTTCACGAGCTTCAATGGGGGTCAGGAGAACAGAGGCTTCAGGCCGAATAGAGGCGTCACGAGCTTCAATGGGCGTCAAGGGAATAGAGGCTTCAAGCCGAATAGAGGCTTCACGAGCTTCAAAGGGCGTCAGTGGAATAGAGGCTTCAGGCCAAATAGGCGCGTCTAGGGTCGCCACTCCACCAGCGCGTCGCAATTCGTAGGCCGAATAGAGGCGCCACGAGCCGAATGCAACCTTCAGGCCGAATAGAGGCTTCATGCCGAATAGAGGCGTCACGAGCTTCACTGGGCGTCAACGGAATAGAGGCTTCAGGCCGACTAGAGGCGTCACGAGCTTCACCAGGCGCCAGCAGAATAGAGGCGTCACCGCAGCTCCTCGGGGGAATAGCGTCTTCAAATAGCGTCTTCGGCGCCGGCTCGAACGGGGAACCCTTGGGCCAGGCCCCTGTATATATGTATATGAGGGCCGAGGAACTTGAGGGACAGGTCGTCCTGCAACGAGCCCATCCTGCCCACGTCAGGTATCACAGCTCGCTGTCGCAATGCTAAGAAAGGGGCGGCCCGTTTTCTTTGACCCGACCTTCGACCCCATCCGCTGCCCTCACTTCCCTCGGGGGGCTTGAGGAGGCATTTCCCCACTTGAGCTGCGACTGATTGAGCTTGCTGGGGCGGCCACGGCTGACCGGTTCCGGCTTTCGGATCAATATTCGGCGGTCGCCTGTGACGGAGCCCCGGCGGCCGAAATGACGCGTTCCCTCAGATCAGTAGGCCTCCAGGTCAAGAGCCCGGGGCCACTGCGGACCTGGGCGTCGAGAGAGGGCAACTCTGCCACGCTGCCGAGTAAGCACTGCGCCCGCAGGAAACTGGTCGAGTGCCAGGCGGCCTGTCCGGGCAGACGCGTTCCCAATTCCCTGCGAGCTCGTACGCCGTCGAGCGGTGCGAGCTCGGCCTCGCTTTGTGGAGGGCCTTGCGAAAGCTGAGCCCAGCCGACGCTGGAGCAAAAGAGCTTGGCGGTGGCAACGCTCTTGTGCTTCGATCCGCGGGCTGGACTCCGACGCGCCCTGGGACTGGGCCCAGCCGTGCGGGGACCGCTGCGCAGTCCAAGTTGAGGCGTTCGACGGGGCCTCCAGGTCAAGAGCCCTGGGCCACTGCGAGGCGATGCGGCACCACAGGTGCGAGAGGCCACCCGTCATTCGACGGAGCTCGCGTGCTGCGGCGGGAGCCGCGGCGCCGCGCCCCCGCCACTGGCCGTGGGGAGTCATCCCGCGGGAGGGGGTGTCGGTGCCCGAGCCCTCCTCCTCCTCTTCCTCCTCCTCCTGCTCCTCCTCCTCCTCCTCCTCCTCCCTCCTCCTCCTCCCCTCCTCCTCCTCCTCCTCCTCCTCCTCCTCCTCCTCCTCCTCCTCCTCCTCCTCCTCCTCCTCCTGCCTCCTTCCTCCTCCTCCTCCTCCTCCTCCTCCTCCTCCTCTGCTCCTCCTGCCCCTCCTCCTCCTCCTCTCCTCCTCCTCCTCCTCCTCCTCCTCCTCCTGCTCCTCCTATCCTCCTCCTCCCCTCCTCCTCCTCCTCCTCCTCCTTCCTCCTCCTCCTTCCTCCTCCTCCTCCTCCTCCTCCTCCCGCACCCTCCTCCTCCTCCTCCTCCTCCTCCTCCTCCTCCTCCTCCTGCTCCTCCTCCTCCTCCCCTCCTCCTCCTCCTCCTCCTCCTCCTCCTCCTCCTCCTCCTCCTCCTCCCTCCTCCTCCTCCTCCTCCTGCCCCCTCCTCCTCCTCCTCCTCCTCCTCCTCCTCCTCCTCCTCCTCCTCCTCCTCCTCCTCCTCCTCCTCCTCCTCCTCTCCTGCTCCTCCTGCCCCCTCCTCCTCCTCCTCCTCCTCCTCCTCCTCCTCCTCCTCCTCTCCTCTCCTCCTGCTCCCTCCTCCTGCCTCCCGCCTCCTCCTCCTCCTCCTCCTCCTCCTTCTCCTCCTCCTCCTCCTCCTCCTCCTCCTCCTCCTCCTTTTCCTCCTCCTCCTCCCCCTCCTCCTCCTCATCCTCCTCCTCCTCCTCCTCCTCCTCCTCCCCACGAGTTAGGAGCAGGGTTGGACCGGCGGACCGCCGTGGGGGCGCGCCGACGCGCGTGCTGAACAGCATCGCCACAGCCATCCTGCTGCTGCTCCTCCGCCCCACCCGAGCCCCAGCTCCCATCGGGGCGCAGGAGGAGGCCGGCGCCACCACGCTCACAGGGGCCCGGCATCGCTCGGACGTGTGTATTTTCTCCGCGGCGACAGCCATCGAGGGCCATCCTGGACCATCGAGCAAAAAAAGCACGCACGAAACCGAAAAATGCACGGGAAATGGACGTCCGAGCGACGGCGAGCAGGGGGGCCCCCGCCCTCGGGGCTCTGCCGGGCGAGGGGAGGCCAGGCGGCGGTGCCTGGGCCCCGCCTCGGCCCCTTCGGCGCAGCTCCTCCGAGCAGGCCTCGGGGCGGCCTCGCCGGCAGCCCCCCGCGGGCCAGAGGTGCGGGCCGTCTGCTTTCTGGGCGCACGTCGGGCGTGCCCCTCTGCAGGAGGAAGGGGCATCTTGGGAGGGAAACATATCCATGTCCACGGCCTCGCGGGCTGGGCCCCTGGGCCGCGATCCCATGGATACGGGAAGTTGTTCGCCAGATGCTCCGCGCGGAACGTATCTATGCGACCGCGTATCCACGGGATCGCGCCCTGGAATCCAGACCGCGAGGGTGTGGATATGGATATGCTCGCCGCTCATGAGGGCAGGAGCAGTCTGGAGACACAGTCCAGTGGCGATGGCCCGTGCTCGTTTGATTCGTTGTCGATCATGTCTGCAATGTGCGCTGCTGATGCTTGTCTCAAAGAACGCCTGTAGGACGGCATGCCCGGCCTAGTTCGAGGTCGCCCCAGGCCGCGATCTCACGCATTTTTGTGCTAGTGCTTGTGCACACACACAGGATCATTTCGCCTTTGTTCCAAAGCTCAATACTGGAGGCTTAGGCACACTACTGGAGCCTCGTCCGCGCGCCAGCTAAGGGAGGTTATGCTTAGTAAGGTCGCGAGCCACGCGACAGAAGCCGAGTTCGAGAGAGTTCATGCCCATTTGCGAGCATTTTTCTTGTCTGACGAGCTGGCACATGTTGGCCGACCGGTTCCCGTCCGCAGCGCATGTGGATCCACGACGAGGAAATCTTGCAGACCTCGAGGGGTGCGCAGTACTTGTATGATCTACGTCCGCCCCGTCAGATCTGGGGCCACGTTCGCGCGGCGATGTATCGAGGTAAATCCGATGTGAATTCGACGTAAGTCCAACATGAACCCGACGTAGATCCGACGCAAAGTGGGTCTCGAGGTGTCGCGCGTGGCCTCCTGGATGCCCCTCATTAGATCCAGGAGTTGCAGAGAGCCTGCGAAAGGTGGAAGCATGATCCAGAGCCGTCACAGATGTGATGTACAGATTAGTTCTCCGACTGGTGGGGCTCGTGTCTCACTAGGCTCGTTTGTCCGTAAGCCATGCGATTGGGATAGCCCGCTGGAGGTGCAGTGGAGTTATCGATGTGCCTTTCCTGGCTGTTGCCGGTGGAAAAAGAAAATCCAAGGGCGTCACACCAATCTGCTTGCTGCGATGCCCGCCCACCGCTCGGACGCGCAGAGAGAACATTGCATCTTTAGGGACCGCTGGGCCGCAGCTTGATCTGCCTGGGCCGCCTGCGCACACTGTGCACCTCTAGAGAAGAGCTCCACAGAAGGGTCGTGTCCGTCGTCAGGCCTGCTGTTGTTTCGTGCGGAACGGAGAGAATCCCCGACGCAGACAGAACACTGCATCTCTAGGGGCCGCCAGGCCGAAGCTTGACCTTCCTTCATCGCTTGCGTACACTGTGCACCTGTTGGGGAGCTCCAAGGAGAAGCGTTTGTTGGGACGCGGCGGCTCCCAGATGAATGTTGAGTCGACATCATCAAATGCTCTACGTCTGCAGCTGTGGACACTGCACCGAAATATGATGTGCATGATTGAGCTCGAATCCAAGCGTCTCCGCGATAAGATGCGGTCGACCTCCGATGAACGTTGGGCCAGGAGGCCTCTTGAGTGGCACCTGTGGCAACACGTGCATGCCAAGCGGCACGCTGGCTGGCAGCGAAAACGTTGGAGCGACACTTGAGTACGTACACAAGTGTGCAATGCGCGCGCGGCCCGGCGTCATGTTAGGTCGGACTCGTCTGCCCTACGGGCCCTCTCCTCTTTCCTTCACAGAAGTGTCGTGTCCGCCGTCAGTCGCACTGTCGCTACGTGCTGCGGAGCGGAGCCCCGAGCAAAGTCTAAGCGGGCAGTATAGCCGAAACCGGGAGTCATGATGGCCCCTCATCGCCAGGGCACCTTGCATCCTTCGGTTCTGGCCATCCTGAGCACGGCTGGGCACGCACATCCTTGGCTCCCGCGCCGTTCCATATGTTTCGCTTCCTCTGACTCCATCCTTGTCGCTGACTTCGACTGTCATTAAGTGGATCCGTGCCCCCTGCTGCCCGCCCCAGAGACCCCTGGCCCAGTTTCCAATTGCCCGACGAGAGGTGGGGCCTTTGGGAGAGGCTTGACGCCCCCCCCCGTCGCAGGGTTGTGGGGACCATGAAGGAGCTGAATTTCGCCTGCTCGAGGTGCGGGGGAATTGAGCACCTCATTTCCGCATCTCGGGCAAACTGACGTCTGAATGCCAGGCCCCCGCATGCACAGGCCTGCAGTACCGCCGAGCGCTCGAGAAGGGTCCAGCGACAGGCCATACAAAGCTGGCGAGGGATGTACTTTCGTTGAGATATACAGGGTGGAGTTCGCGCGTAGCGCATCGTTGCCACTGTTGGCTCAAGCCATCTGGTTTGGTCCGCGCGCCCGCCCTGCCACGGCAGGGCCGCCGCCGGCGGCCGTGTTGACGCCGACTGCGCTGACCGCTGCCGCCGCCGCGGCACAGCGGCCGCGGCACAGCGGCGGTGCAGCGGCGGTGCGCGGCAGAACCAGATAAAGCCCAGCGGCAGCGGCACAGCGGCGGTCAGCGCACAACCGCGCGCTGGCCGCCGCCGCCGCGCTGCGGTGGGCTCCACCTCCGCCACAAGCGAAGAGTGCTCACGATCGCTGTTCTCCGCTTGGCTCCCGAGCCAGGCGCGGCCCGCACACCCGCGGCGCACGGGCGCGGCACGGCGGAGCCTTGGCGCTGCTCGCACACCGCCCCGGGGGCACGGACGCGGGGTATCTGCGGCCACCTCGTCGGCGCGGCGTCTGCGCCGCGCCAAGGCCGCGGGTTTCCCTGCCCCCGCGCCTCGCACCGCCGCGCGGGCGGCGCCGGCCGCGCTGCAGCCTCTCGTGGCCGTCATGGGGCGCCCTTGGGGGCCTCGGGTGCCACCTTGGGGCCATCTTGGAAGAGCTCGACCAAAGGAAGAGAGCTCCTTAATGAGGAGTCCCCCCTCCAGGGGGCGAACATGTGGCCAAAACCTGTGTACAATCTGTGATTGGGGTCTTCGCGAGACAATGGTCACACCGCGTTCGGGTTAGACTCGGCCGCGGGCCAGCAAAAGATTCCGCGCCAGACCACAGCGCTCGGGGGAGCCCCGTGGGGCCCTCGCCAGAGGTCACTCCGGCGAAGGGTCACTCTTACGTGCAGTCGGCCCAGACATCCGACGTCATGATTGTTGTTTGATCGCAGCATGGCTCCCCAGAGGCGTTGCTGGGGAGAGGTGGCTGGGCGAGCGGCGAGTCGAGGGCTGCACTCACCACGCTTGGCAAGGCAGCCCGCAGCCCTGCGCCGCCCTGCCGGGCGCGCGGCCGCACGGGCGAGGCCCTTCCTCAGAGGGGCGCGCGGGCCAGCAGGCCGGCACGGGGCAGCGCACCGAAGCAAAAGGGCGGGCCCTCTGGGGGGGGGGGGGGAGCGGCAGCGCCCTTGCCGCCCGCAGAGGCAGGCGCTGCCCGCACGCGGCGGCGCGGGCAGTCCCCCCTTGCCGCCTGGCCGTGTGATGGGAGGAGGGCGAGGGTGCGGTGTAAACGCGGTCTGGAGCTCAGCCCAAAGGGGGGGTCCCCAGGACGAGTTCCCTCCCGTTCCTTCTCTTCGTACTCTTCCTGCACGCTGGCCAGGCGTTGACCGAGACGGCTGTGGCGTCAATGTTACCTTCCTCCTCCACCACTCCTCCTCATAAATAACTCCTCCCTGACGCACCCGCAGGCGTGTGGGTAGAGCGGGCCGGGCGTTTCGCTCGATATTCCGTCACCTCATATGATCCCTAAGGTTGAAATTTCAATAGCGCCAAGGATGCAGGGCGGGTGGTTGTCAAAGGTGGTTCCCGCCGCAGGGCCAATCACTTCCGTCGTGCAACCATTCCAAGGGTGGAGGG